GCAGCCCCACACCTGCAGGGGGGTTAAAAGCAGGTGTGGGTGTGCCAAAGCAGCCCCCAGCCCTCTGGCACCCGCCCCCACCCGCCCAGAGATAGGTTTGTATACACACAGCTGGTTCCCGTGAGGATGGTGATGGAGGTGACAGCAATGATGCAGAACATGTATACGTATACAATACAAGTATATGCTTTGGTATTGACGGTTAAAGAGAGTTTTAAGCCTAGAATGAAAAAATTCAGACCTTGGCTTCCTATCATACCCATGCAGCCGGCTTATCTGGGGCTCATCCAAATCCACCTTAAACAGTAGGAAGTGGGTTCTTACTAGAGACAGCTCATCACCCTCGGGGGCCGGGGGGCCCCCCGTGACCGGGGCGGTGGGTTTGGGGGAGGGGGCAGGTGAGGTGGTGGCAGGGCTGAGCGTGTCCCCCTCTTCCATAGTTCTGAAGGCAGCCAGGCCCATGTCATCTCCCTGAATATCATCCAGAGTCTCGGTCAGGGCTGCCAGCAGCGCTTCGTTCTCGCTGTCTATTATCTGAAAGGAGCAGCAGAGAAGAAAAGCGGGGGTTAGGCTGGGCACAGGGTTCCCACAGGATGCTGGATGGGGGACAGGGACCAGCAGAGCCACACCAGCTCCCACACTGCTCAGTGACCCCACTGTGAGACCTGGAATAGCAGTGTCAGTCTGTCCACCTGCAGCCCAGCAGGAAAAGAACGAACCAGAGCATCTTCTCTGCCCACAGCCCCTCCACCCCACCACGAGGCAAACAGCAGCAGATGAAGGATCTGTCAGGAAAAGGCTCCTGGCCCAAATCCTCCTGACTCTGCAAGTGCAGGAGCTGTGAGCTCAGCCAGCGCTGCCCAGTGGACAAGAGGGCACAGCCTCCCAGGAGGGCACAGGGGAAGCTGCACCACTGGCCTGGTGCCACAGCTTGTGACAAGAACCACGCTGAGCTTTGTGCTCACTGAGAGCCCCCAAACACAGGCACCTCCAGCTGCTCAGGGGCTCTCAGCCCTCCCACACCGCTGCACCCAGTGCTCTGTCAGAGATCTATCCAGAGCACAGCCCCAGTCACTCCCCAGTCTCCCATCAGCACCCCCAGATCATGCTGTTCACCCAAAACTGCGTCAGGGGAGCTGCAGTGCAAGGCCCATCTCATTCCCGGACAGGAGCTGCTCCGCCTCCCCCTTGCCCACTGCTCCAGCCTGGCTTGGGTCCCTCCTTTCACTGTGCTTTGGCTTTGCTGATGCACCTCCAGCCTTCCCAGGGCCCTCCCAGTCCCACCCAGCCCCACGAGCTCCCTTCCAGTCTGGCAATACAGTGCTGAAGCCCAGGAGAGGATGCAAAGCTGAGGAATGGCTGGAGTGAGCCAGCAGTTCCTTCGTTTTGGTCCTCCTCCATCACAATCTGAATGTAAACCATGTCCAGGGAGAGGCAGGCTACCATCAGGGATAAAATTAGCACGGGGGTAAAGTGAGGCTCACAGCCTCCTGTGCTTCTCTCCTCTTGTTTGAAAATTAAACATCTTTTGTTCCATGCCCTAACCTTGCTCGCAGTTACTAGAGCAGGCTCCAGGGAAAGGCAGCAGGATGCTCCATTTTTGGCTCAGTTTCTTTTCCTCCTGTTATTGGCACGAGATTGCTGTGCACACAAGTTCAGTGGGATACATTTCATCATACTCCACTGCTCCTCATCGGCCTGGCTTTTGCATTTCTTTTCTGTTTATCTTTTCCCCAGGAAGTTCACGGAAAATATGCATCTCGTGATGAAGGTCCCTCAGCTGGACTGGACCATTTTCAAGCACAGCATCAGCCCAGCACAAAAGCCAGAGGGTTGTTATTTCATGGGCAGGTTAGAAAATATTGAGGCTTTTTTTTTCATCTCCTTGTTTAAATAGAAATCTTCCTCCTCCCAAAATGTGACCCAGGCTTGGTGATTAGCTGGTACCAGGGGGACACAACCTCCTTGTGCAAGGGGGTAAAGGGTCAGGAGGGCACAGAGACCCCAACCCCAAGGACAGGCACATGCAGGGCATGGCATGAGCTTGGGCAGGGTGAAGGGCTGCCCGGCCTGCTCTGTGCCCAGTCCCCTCTGCATCTCCCTGCTTCCAACCTGGCTGTGCTGTCAGACAGCCCTGCCCTGTCCTCACAGCTCCAGGAGATGGGACAGGAGCAGAGGGACATGGAGCAGTCCTGCCTGTGCCAGGAGCATCCCCTGCCCCAGGAGCATCCCCTGTGCCCAGGAACATCCCTGCCCCAGGAACATCTCTGCCCCAGGAGCATCCCTGCCCCAAGAGCATCCTCTGTGCCCAGGAGCCTCCCCTGCCCCAGGAACATCCCCTGCCCCAGGAACATTCCCTGCCCCAGCTCTGCACTGTGCTGACACAGCCACAGATCCATCCCAGCCCAGGGCTGAGGAGAGGAACACAGGGACCCCAGAGACAGAGGGGCTGCCAGAGCTGGGAGAACAGAGCAAGGGGCTGGTTCCTGTGAGGGAACAGGGTGGAGGGGCTGGATCCTAAAGGAACAGGGTGAAGGGGCTGATTCCTAAAGGAACAGGTTGAAGGGGCTGATTCCTAAAGGAACAGGGTGAAGGGGCTGGATCCTAAAGGGACAGGGTGAAGGGGCTGGATCCTAAAGGGACAGGGTGAAGGGGCTGGATCCTAAAGGGACAGGGTGAAGGGGCTGGATCCTAAGGGGACAGGGTGAAGGGGCTGCTTCCAGCTCCTGGGAAAGAACTTTCCAGTGCTGAGACCCCAGCACTGCCGCCCTGGCATTCCAGGAATGGAACAGGACACACTGCACCCCGGCTGCGATTCCAGTGAATAATCCAGCACAGGAGGGCTGCCTCAGCAGCCTCCTCCTCCTCCTCCTCATTAGCCTTACTCTGCTTGCCCCATTTAGAGCTGGTGCACAAATTAATGGAGCAGTAATCAGCTGGGGAGGAGATATTAATAGTCCTGTGTGTTCCCTCTTCCCAGTCTCCCTTTCCCTGTGCCTCCATCCTGGGGTACTGGAGAGCTCTGTGCTCCCTGCTCCCAGCCTCTCTGTCCCCCTGCCTGCACCCAGGGGGGATGGATGGGGTACCTGGAAGAGCTCGGAGTCGTCGGTGCTGTACTGGCTGGAGTCGGTCTCCGAGTGCTCCCTGTCCCAGTGCAGCTCGCTGAAGCAGCCAGCAGAGTCCAGGTCGCCGGCGTCCAGCTGGGACAGATCGATCTCGGGGAAGTCAGAGTAGAGGTGCTCCTCTCCAGACACCTCATACTGCACACAGGAGAGCAGAGAAACAACTGAGACCAGGGGAGCAGGCACTGAGGACAGCAGCATCCCCCCTGTGTCACCCAGTGATCCACCCCAATGCTCCCAGCCCCTCTTCCCATGTAGCTCCAGGCACTGGCAGGGTGTGCTGGGCACCTTTTCACCCACTCAGCCTGGCACTGGTCACTGGAGCAGCCCCACAGCCCCACCACACCCCTGCTGGTGTCCCAGCTGTGGCACAGCTGGAGCTGCTTGGGAAGAGCCTCATCCCTTCCCAGTGAGCAGATGCTCAGGGCACAGCACAGCCACTGCACAGCCACGGCTGGGGCAATTCCTGCCCTTGGTGCCCTAAAAGTGACATCCAGTGGTGGCCTGGGGATCAGCACAGGACACCTGGGACAGCGGCACACAGGGCCAGCCTCACAGGTGCTGCTCACCCTGTCCCCCCAAGGGCCCTGGAGCCCTCAGGATCCCAAAGCACCACCAAGGCCACCAGAGCTGCTCCCTGCTCCCTGCAGGGTGAGGACAGCCTGGAAATGAATGGATGTCTAAGAGCACTTGGGGTGATGTGAGCTAAAAATCTCCACTTAACCACAGAAAGGAGCTGGCACCTGCCCCACTTGGGTTCCAGCCACGAAACCCCAGAGGGGGCTGGGGCTGGCACCAGCACCCAGTGCCTGCCCTGGCACCTGCACCGTGCCTGCTTCAGCCTCGGTGCCAGGGTAAAACACAGGGAAAGGTCTGGAGAGGCTCCTCCCAGCACTGCCTGCCCAAGGGGAGGCTTCTGGCACTGAGGGAAGCAAGTTTATTTACAGAGCAAACGGATTTTGGAGCAGGCAAACATCTGAGCATGTGAGAGAGGCTGCGGGGGAGCGTGGGGGCCCCTCCTCCCGGAGCACCCTGCAAGGGTCTGCTCCATCACTCAGTGGGAAGGAAAGGGGATTTCAAACCCAGCTGCAGGAAGGGAAAAGACAGCTTTTCTCTCTTTCTCTTCTCGTTTTTTTGTTTTTCAAATTGGGATAATCTGGGATTACTGGCTGTGTTCCCCCAGGCTGAGGAGCCTGTCTGCCACGCTCCCCACCACATCCAGGACACTCCAAAGGACACTCCCCTGCACACACTCCCTCCCTTCCTGCATTTCCCACCTGCTTCCCAGCCTGCCCCCTCCCAGGGGAGGTGGAAAACAGGGAGAGCACCTCGGAGGGCACAGCAAGGGCAGGAGAGTGGTTTTATGGCCTGAAGGTGAGCAGTGCCAGGCCCCATGCCCCAGCCATGCCCAGGGGCTGCAGTGGATGCAGGGAGCAGCTGGGGCAAAGCTCTGGGGGATGCTCTCCCAGCGCTCTCCCTTCACCTCTTTGGGATGGGTACCAGGTAGATAGCACAAGTGTGGTGCCACAAAGAGTATCGGGCACCCCTGAGGGCTCTGGGAGCACAAACTCCTCACTGGGCCCCCAGGGATGGGGATTTTCTAACCTGCCCTGCAAAACCCTCTGTTCCCAGGTGTCAGAGCACGTGCAGCAGGTCAGGAGTCCCCACTGCCAGCTCTGGGGGACACAGATGCTGCCTCCCCCCTTGTGCTGTCCCTCTGCTGTGGGATCTGGTGTCCTTTGGCCTTTCAGATGTGTCCCTTACCTGCTGCGCCTCGTCCCTGCCTTCCTGTCCCTGCCCTGGTGCCTGCTCCAGAAAAAGTCTTGTGACAACTTTGTCTCCCCCTTCTCCCCACAGCTTCCCATGGGAACACAGGCACAGGTTTTTATTTTTAGCCAAGCCATACATCCACAGCTATACGTGTGTCTGTGTGTGCATGTGTGCGTGCAATTAAAAATAGCAGAGCAGCCAAATTCTCCTGCTCCTTTTGATATGCCACAAGGGAAAAGATCCTGGCGCTGAGATCACAAGGAGCAGCTGACACCAGTGCTCGGGATGTCTTTTGATCAACTCCACAGATGTGACATGTCCCCATTGGCAACAGGGCTGCGTAAAAATAAACCCCTGCAATGCCAGGCTGCTGAGCTGCCCTCTCTGGGCACTGGGGGCAGGACTGCTCTGCCCTGTCACTGCCACTGTCACTGTCACTGTCACTGCCACTGTCACTGTCACTGTCCTGCCACTGCCACTGTCCTGCCACTGTCACTGTCACTGCCACTGTCACTGTCACTGTCACTGTCACTGCCACTGTCACTGCCACTGCCACTGTCACTGTCCTGTCACTGCCACTGTCACTGCCAGTGTCACTGCCCTGCCACTGTCACTGCCACTGTCACTGTCACTGTCACTGTCACTGTCACTGCCACTGTCACTGCCCTGCCACTGTCACTGCCACTGCCACTGTCACTGTCACTGCCCTGCCACTGTCACTGCCACTGCCCTGTCACTGCCCTGCCACTGCCACGCTGGGGATGCTCCAATCCTCCTGCCTCCCACGGGTCAGGAATGCCCAAACTCAGCTCAGTGTGTGTGGAGCCTCCTCCTTGGCAAACATGGGGACAGCCTTTGCTTGGTGGGGTCACCTGGATGGGC